CAATAGTAATTTTCTCTTGGGGTTGTTGTAGAGAGTACTGGAGCCAATGAATATAAAGTGCTCAGCACAATGCCTGCCACATGGTAATTGCTGAAAAGATGTTGGCTGTTATCAGCAGTATTTTTACTGTGGGCTAGGTGCTGGGAATAGACGGATGAATTTTATAGGGTGTCTGCCCTCCAGGAACTGGCTGTCTCAATCGGGCGAAGCAGCAGCATTGCGTGACGTAAGTGGGACAATCGGCCTGAAGGAAAGCTGGGCTTGGGGCTGCGTTAGGGAAGATGATGCCCGAGCTGGGTTTTGAAAGATGAATAGAAGTCCTGGAGCTGGATGCAGATATACATCCCGCATGAGGAAGAAGGCTGTGCTGAGGTCTGGCCATGCTGAAGCCTCTACTGGAAGGACATGGGGCTGGCATAGCCAGGAACAGATCGGGAGAAGATGGACTTTCTTCTGTAGGTGACAGGGTACCAGTGAGGGTTTTTTTTTTTTTTTTAAGATTTTATTTATTTATTTGACAGAGAGAGAGATAGAGAGCACAAGCAGGGGGAGCAGCAGAGAGAGGAAAAAGCAGGCTCCCCGCCGAGCAGGGAGCCCGATGCGGGACTCAATCCCAGGACCCTGGGATCATGACCTGAGCTGAAGGCAGACACTTAACCGATTGAGCCACCCAGGTACGCCAGTGAGGGTTTTTAAATATAACATTTATTGTAGTTTTTCCCCTTCATTAGAAAGTAAAATGTGTTCACTGGGGCACCTGGCTGGCTTGGTCGGTAGAGCATGATACTCTTGATCTTGGAGTTGTGAGTTCAAGCCCCGCGTTGGGCCTAGAGCTTACTTAAAATTTTTTTTAAAAATATAAAAATTAAAAAAAAAAAAGAAAGTAGGGCGCCTGAGTGGCTCAGTTGGTTAAGCGACTGCCTTCGGCTCAGGTCATGATCCTGGAGTCCCGGGATCGAGTCCCGCATCGGGCTTCCTGCTCAGCAGGGAGTCTGCCTCTCCCTCTGACCCTCCCCCCTCTCATGGGCTCTCTCTCTCTCTCTCTCATTCTTTCTCTCAAATAAGTAAATAAAATCTTAAAAAAAATAGAAAGTAAAACATGTTCACACTTTAGAAAATTTGGAGAATTGGAAAAAGGCAGAAAGATGTAAAAATTCTCTGTGTTTCTATCCCCCGGAGGAAATCACCATTAACATTTTGGTATGAATCCTTTGTACCTACTAACCTTTAAGATTTTTTTCAAAAATGAGAGTGAAGTATATTCAGTGAAGGGTTTTAAGGTCGGGATTGTGTCTGGAAGGATCCCTGCAGCTGCAGCGGTGTGGAGGACAAAAGACAGGGAGACCCCCGGGGACATCACAGACTTGAGGCCCTCGCTGGTAAGGCGGGAGGGGGAGGGGACCTGATGGGGGGAGGGCCGGTCGGGGAGAGCCGGGTGGGGTGGACAGGATGTGGGGATGATAAGGGCAGCCTTGGCCTCACTCTTGTCAGCTTGGAGAGGGTGCTGTGATGAGCTCTCCAGGGGAGAAGGCCGGGAGCCCGGGTTCCAGTGAGTCAGCCTGTGGCTTGCACACTGAGCATCTGCTTTGTGTGAGAGGGAGGGAGTAGCTGCTCTTTTTCCTCCCCGAGGCCCCATGGTAGAGGTGACGATGCCAGAAGAGATGAGAGCATTTGAGACCTAAGATGCAGAGCCGGCAGGACCCCGCCCCTGAGAGCAGGCCGGGACCCATGGGAGCTCTGGCAGCTCTATCCCCGGAAGGTGCCATTGGGCTCAGGTGGCTCTGGGCAACAGGCAGTTGAAACGCTCTGCAGGTGATTCTACTGTGCAGCCATTGCTGAGATCCACATGGCACCGAGGAGGGCTCTCCAGCCCGAGGACGCAGAGTGAGCCAGGCTGAGAGCGGTCTTTGGGTGCAGATTGCTCCCCACCCCTTCTGCACCCCCTTCTCAGTGCAAGACTGTTCCTCTCTGAGTGAGAGCGTCCTTTGCTATGCAGGCCAGGTCAGCCAAGGAATCCTGGCTCGGCTCTTCATCTGTCTTCTGACCCTTGGCCAGGTGCTCTGCCTTTCTGGGCCTCAGTTTCCTCCTTTTCTATGGGGTTGATCCTACTGGTCCTGCCTGCTTCACTGCAGGACCACTGTGTGGAGCACCGCTGGGCGCAGGAGGTGGTCATGGCGGCTGAAACCAACCAGGTAAAAGAGATGTGCTCTTTCTTTGCCCAGAAATGTAGCTCTCAGCCCAGGACCCACCTTCCCTCTGGCCTGGCCCTCGCTCCAGAGCACTGGATGTGGGCTTTTCCGAATCCTTGTTTCTCAGGGGAGGACATGATCGATGGCCAGCAGAGCGCGGACAGAACCAGGCCCCCTGTTTCCTGAGAAGACCCTAGTGCCTTTATGGGACCATTTGTCACAACTGCTAATAAGCCCACTCGGGTGCCATAAATAGACACCATGGCACTGAAAGGCATTATTCACACTTGCCAACGAACACCTCCTTTTCAGCTTATAGATGGTGCCTGCCCACACCCGACCTCAGGGGCTCCTAAATGTGTCCCTGGGCTCTGCCCCCATGCTGCCCACAGGACCTCGTCACCCTTCTCCGAGGGACACCTCAAGGGCGGGTCTCCTCACACCGCGCTGGTCTCTGCTGTCCCTGGGGCGGGGAGCGGGGAGCTCTGCCTTTCCACATGCAGGGGCTTTGCATGGGGCCTCTCCCTGCCCATTTCCTACTCCTCCACCAAGAGTCCTTGGTCTCTTCTTCTGCTATAACAGCTTTTATTAGGTGAGGGCTTTCTGGACACCAGGCACCCCTGAGACAGCACCTTTAATCTCCGAGGAGTTTCAGGAGATAGGTGCTGAGTTCCTAAAGGTCAAGGTGCTTGCCCAAGGTGTGCTGGGAAGGGGAGTGTGGGCACTGTGTGACCCCGGGCCCTCTCTTTTCCTTACCGTCCTCTCTGGCTGGCTGTTCCCACTCTCCTGGGAGCAAGGGCTGCTCGGACACGTCAGGGGCTGGGGTGGTGGTGGGGGGAAGGCCCGGGCAGAGTGAAGGGTTAGCAGAGAGAGAAAGAGGAGATGGACGAAGAGATGCACAGAAACACACACGAAAGCAAGACAGGGAGGGCAGAGCTGGTGCAGCGAGCCCCTTGTGGGGAGAGGTCTGCTGCTCTGTCTGCCCTCCTCTTCCACCCCAGCCCTGCCTCACCCTCTCTCTCTCTGTGGAAGAGACAAGAAGACCAAGCCTGAGGGAGGGCCTTGGCCCCCAAGTGTGAAAACTGGGGGCTGCTCACAGAAGTGGGCTTTGTTAACCTCATTTCTGGATAAAAACCATCTGGCATGGGGTGAGCTGCCTCGAGTGTCCTTGTTTCCTACGCACACCCAGTGTATACAGTTCCTCACACGTGCATGCATATGGACACGTGCTCACAGATGGGACTTGCACACCTGCACATCTACGTGCCTTAGAACATGTGCCCATGGGTGTGCATGTGTGCACCTGGGGCCCTCACGAATGCACACACAAGGGTACACTCGTGGCCACGGCGTGCTCTACCTGGGTGTGATGCCCACTGCCTGCTTGTTCCTGGCCCCTTCCTGGCCTTTGCCCAGGAGGCCGTGTTGATAAAGGCCCTTGTCCCTGCCTGTTCCTCTGATGCTTGTCAACTTCCAGGGGAGATGTCAGTGGCCCTGTAGCCCTTGGGCTTTCAAAGCACTTGTCGATGCCCTCCTTTATGTCTGGCCCCCTCCCACTCCCACCCCCACTCCACAGTGTGGCCTCTGCCTCCCTTCCCTGCACAGCCCTGATCCTTGGGTGGCTGGGACTTAGGATGAAGGGCGCAGCTGCACGGGGCTCCTCATGGCCCTTGACCCCCCGGCTCCTGGAGCCCCATGCAGAGGAGGCCGGCAGCTGGCTCCTTGGCACGGCCAGATTGCAGTCCCGAGAGGCCATCCCCCAGCCTGCCTGGTGGAGCTTCCACCTGGAGCGCCCTGGGAGCTGTATGCTGGTTGTCAGCAGCCGCCTCTGCCCCATGAGGGCTAGTGGGGAAACCAGAGGGGGCTGGGGATTTGGTGCCAGGGAGCTAGGCTGGGTGTGAGCTGCTCTGCCTCTGGCCGCGGCAGGGTCGTGGGCCCCGGGGAGGCCCCTGTGGCTGGAGCAGGACAAGCAGGTGTCTCCGGGTGACTTAGGTCTCGGAGACTGTGTGTTGTGGCCAAAAGGGAGGTCTGTGCTGGGCGTCTGGAGACCGGGGTTCTGAGACACTGGGATCTGGGGTGGGTCACCTCCTGCCTCTGGGCTGTCTGACCTCTCCCGCACACACAGGGGGCTGGGCCAGATGATCTCTGAGGGCTTTCCTGGGATCCTCTGAATCTGAGGATTTGCAGCTGGACCATGGGAGCCGCGGAAACCAGCGACATTGGGAGGAACCACGGCCCCCCTTTCTCTCAGTGCACTGTCCGGCCCCTACAGCAAAGTCAGACCTTGAGTGAACGACAGTCCCCGTGCAGTGGAAGAGAGCCCCCCGCCCTCGCTGCACTCACAGGGCGGCCGGTGGTGGGGGAGGGGACTGCCAAGAGAGGCACCCTGGCAGAGGGGGAGGGGCGTTTCTGGGACACTTAAGGCCCAGGTGTGAGAACCACTGTTCCCAGGCAGCATGGGTCCCTTAGACATCTGTCCTAATGGTCGGGCCAGGGCAATGGAGAGATGGGACCTCGCCCTCTCAAAGTCATGCGCCTCACCTCCCCGTGCTCCTAGAGCCAGCCCTGAGTGGGCCCAGGCCTTAAGCTCCCTGTAGTGAAGACACAGGAGTACTGTCGTCCAGTGGGAGGCCATAGAGCTTAGAGGACCACAGCAATCAGAGAGCATTGCCCAGTGCCTGTGGTCACGTGATGGGGCCTGCGGAGCGCTGGGACCACATGGGCTGAGGGTGGGCGTCACACTAAAATCCCCATCTCCTTCTCCCCTCCTGCTCCATTTCCTGTGGCCTGCTGCTGCTGCCTGATCCTCAGGAGGTGGAGGTGAGTACTGCCGGGGGGGCCCCACACCCCACCCTCCTCTCTTCTCCTTCTCCCTGACTTCTTCCCTGCAGCACTCAGTATGGGATGGAGGGGTAAGGAACATGTGGGCAAGGCTGGAATAAGGATTTAGGGGGATAGAGTTCTGGGGGGGCTGCGGGCAGAGCTTGGGGGGCCAGGGGTCATCTGGGCAGCGGCTGGGGTGACGGCAGTTAGCACGTGGGAGCAGGTCCAGCCCTCCTCCCTCCTGGCCCTGGAGCTGAGCCTCGGCCCCAGGATCTAACTCTCAGCCCTTCCCTTCTTCCTCGCCGCCCTGTCCTTCCTTAGGATGACTACATCAAGAGCTGGGAGGACAATCAGCAAGGAGACGAAGGTAACGTGCCCCTCCCGGGTGAGGGACTATGACTGACACCCGTGAACCCTTGAGACCCGCCAAGGGCACGTGCCAACCATGGCCTTGGGGGCTCTGTGGGAGCCGGGCCCTGATGGGAGTGGGGCTTCTGGAGCCGAGGAGCTTTGGTTCTCAGGGCTACTGCAGAGAGGAGCTTCTCGGCTCAGCAGGGGGGCTGGGGGCTTCCTGGGCTCTCTGGCACTGATTTTCGGGTGACCTGTGTTCTGGCCCTGTGTCCCAGCAGCCCTGGACACCACCAAGGACCCCTGCCAGAAGGTGAAGTGCAGCCGTCACAAGGTGTGCATCGCCCAGGGCTACCAGCGGGCCATGTGCATCAGCCGCAAGAAGCTGGAGCACAGGTGAGGGCCTTGGGGAGTGGGGGGTTCTGGGGGCATTGCTTAAATAGCAAGGGCTTGCCTGATCGTCTCCTATGTGGCAGTGACCTGTTGCTGCAAAATGACCTACCCTGAAACTTTGTGCTTAAGACAACAGATGTATTATCTCACTCAGTTTCTGAGGGTCAGGAATCTAGAAGTGGTTCTGTTGGATGGTTCTGGCTCAGGGTCTGCCATGAGGTTACAGTCAAGGTGCTGTCCGGGGCTGCGTCATCTGAAGGCTGGATTGCTGTTGGTTCTAGTCATAGACCTCGCTCCATAGGGATGCTTGAGTGTCCTCACAGCATGGTAGCTGGCCTCCCCTCAGCGAGGCATCCAAAGGAGAGAGAGAACAAGGAGGAAGCCACAATGTCACTTATGATCTAGTCTCAGAAATCATACGTTATTACTTCTGCCACTTCTCTTTGTTAGGAGCGAGTCTCTAGGGGGAGGGAATTACACTCCCTCTGTTGAAGGGAGGAGTGTCAAAGAATCTGTAGACATAGTCTAAGACCACCACACTATGTGAGATCCATCACCAAGCAGTGTGGGACTCAGGGAAAGGCATCTCTCCTCTCTGGGACTCCAGTGTCCATATCCGTAAGACAAATAGGTTGGCCCAGATAGTTGGAGATTCTCTCCAGCTCTGACGTGCAACGACTTAATGAAATATTTAAGGTTGTAGCTCCTGAGGCTTGCAGAGGAGGGAAAGGACAAGACCTGCCAGGATCCAGACCCCTGGAAAGGGTCTCATTTCCCTCCCCTCTCTCCAGGAATCCAGGTTTCTATGTGAACTCTTGGTGAATAACTCAAAGCCAAACACCTTTGGCTGCCAAACAGAATGAGTCTCTGGGCCAGATACAGCCCATGGGCCGTCAGTTTGCAACCTCTGATTTGGTGTGACCCCTTATGCAAGGTGCGGCTCCTTTTTAAGTCTTGCAGTCAGACCCGGAGTTGCTGCCTGAAGGCCCTGCTGGACTCGGTAACCACAGGAGAGGGGTAGCTGGGGGTCTGCACCCTGCCCAGTTGGCTCCATCCGCCCTTAGGAGCCGGAGGAGGGTCTGGCTAGGGCTGATGGGGAGGTTGGGCAGGGGCAGGAAGGAGGCTGCCGGTGCTATAGGTCACCAGGGCCAGCTTCCTGTTGGAGCCACTCTCTTGAACCTTCCCTTTGTGTCTCCCTCTCTCATTTTTGCCTCCACCCCCCCCATGCCCTCCCCATCCCTGTCTTCCTGTAGGATCAAGCAGCCTGCCCCGAAACTCCCTGGAAACAAAGAGACCATCTGCAAACCCTGTCACATGGCCCCGCTCGCCTCAGTCTGTGGCTCCGATGGCCACACTTACAGCTCGGTGGTGAGGAGCTCTGGCCCCAGGTGGGGGGTGGGATGGGGGGCTGGGTTGGCACCCGAAGCCAGGCGGGGGAGAGAGGACAACGAACCAGGGCCTCCAGGGGGCTCCCAGTGCTGACACAGGCCAGGTGTCCTCGGTCAGTGCATGCGGTGTGGCCGACCATAGAAGGGATACCTGAGCCCTGGGCTGGGGCTGTCTGAGAGTCGGAGCCAGACCCTGCCCCTGGCCTGATACAGGTGCAGGTGGGCAGTGGGTCTTGAAAGATACAGGTTGGCAGGTAACTGCGAGTCAGAGCAAGTGAGGTAAGTCAAGAAAGTACCCAGGGCTCTGGAAGGAAGGAGCCATGTCATCCATTTGTCGGGGTTGGGGGTTGATGGATGGAGCTTTCCACAGGCAGATTTCCACCCAGAGGGGATGGTGTTTACCAGCAAGCACCAGGCATTCTGGGGCAGGAGAAAATAATCCTTCATGAGACAACCATGTGGGAGGGAATGGTGGTTGGCGGGGGAGTGAATCCCTACCTTATAGGCTTGTTATGAAAGTTAAGTGAGACATTCGGGAAAGCATTTTATAAACTCTAAAGGACCATAGAAATGCAGGTGCTAATTGTGAATGCTTCTGCTAGCCACCAGGGGTTGGGGGTTGCTTGGTTTTTGGAGGGCACTGTTAGCTAGGGTTGGCTTCTAGGGCTTAGGAACCCTTTCGGGGTGACATGCAGATTTATGAGTCACAGAGTCACAGGCTGTGGGCAAGGGGGAAGTTCACCGGGAGGGGAGAGAGACTGCGCCAGAGGCGCAGTGTGGCTCGGTCGTTAGTCTGCCTTCGGCTCGGGTCATGATCCCAGGGTCCTGGGATCGAGTCCCGCATCAGGTTCCCTGCTCAGCGGGGAGTCTGCTTCTCGCTCTCCCACTCCCCCTGCTTGTGTTCCCTCTCTCGTTCTATCTTTCTCTGTCAAATAAATAAATAAAATCTTAAAAAAAAAAAAAAGAAGAAGCAGCAGCTGCTGTACTGGGGAGGCAGGAGGGAGAGGGAGGAGGAGAAGAGGGCTGTCACACGGCCCCAGGGCAGAGCAAGATTTGGGCAGGAAGCTGTGTTCTGAGGGTCACAGAGCTGTCCTTCGGGGAGGTAGAGGTCATCAGGAGGTCTGGCTTCCATCCCAGCCCCTTGGCCTTGGGCAAGTCCCTGGGCCTCTCTGAGCTTCCGTGTTCTCTGCTGAGCTGCCAGGGACCAAGGGAGATACTATTAAACACTACGACCCCTTCTCATTAGCTGTCATCCCACGGGGATGAACCAGACAGGACCAGGGAAGACACTTTAAGGGCGAGGAGTGGATGAGACCCTCTCCGAGGCCGGCTGCTGCAAACAGCTGTGGCAGAGGGTTTTTAGTAAAGGCACGGAGTTAGCAGGCGTGAGCAGAGAGCCAGCGGCTGTTGTCCAGAGAGCTGGGCGGAGCCCGTTGGAGGTAACCGTGGAAAGACCACTGAGGGAGGGGCCCGCAGCCAGTTCCCTGGGGACCGAGGGACTGTGGTAAGAAGGAAGATAGGCCAGAGGGCCAGGAGGCAGCTCAATAGGGGAGGTGGGTGGGTGGGGGTAAGGGCATGGGGGAGCCTAGTGTCCCGGGCAAGGTAAATGTGCAGAGACGTTAAGCTGGTGCAGACCAGGGTTCATGGGAGCCCCTGAATCCCTGGGAACCCCTTTCCAGGCCTGCTGTCCCCCCAACACTATGTACCTTCGGCCCCCCCAGAGGTACCTGCTGTCCCTCCCGTCAGATGTGGCTGCCTGGTAGGCTCGAAGTACCCCAGCTACAAGTAGCCATGGGTGAGCCCCACCCCAATCACACAACCCAACCTTTCTCCTCATGCAGTGCAAGCTGGAGCAGCAGGCCTGCCTGAGCAGCAAGCAGCTGACCGTGAGATGTGAGGGCCCCTGCCCCTGCCCCACAGAGCAGGCCTCCCCCTCCACCACCGACAGCAAGCCAGGTAATGCTGGTGCTGGGCCCCAGCCAGGCTGGGGGAGCCCTCCCGGCCAACATCTCCCGGAGTGCCTCCTTCAGGGCTCTGGGATGCTAAGAGAGGTTCACAGAGCAGGAAGGGAGAAGTGGTAAAAACAAGGACGGGCCCGAGGACCCGTGGGGCTGGAGGGCTTGGGCCTCAGGTACAGGGAGCATGCGCTGTGTGGTTTTAGTGCTAGGGGCTGCGGGGGGAGGAAGATGGGAGAGGATGGGAGGGGGCCTTTGATTTCTCATTCCCCTTCCCTCCTGACCACTGCCCAGGGTCTGGCCTGTAGGGCAGCATCCCAAGCTGACACCATGCTGTGCTTAACCCCACCTTCACCCACACCCCTTTCTCCCCATTCTGCTGCCGACTGTAGAGACCTGCACAGGTCAAGACCTGGCTGACCTGGGGGACCGGCTGCGGGACTGGTTCCAACTCCTTCATGAGAACGCCAAGCAAAATGGCTCGGCCGGCGGTGGGGCCAACCTGGCCAGTGGTACAGAAGCTGCTTGCTCTGCCTGGGTGGAGGGAGGGCAATGGGGCGACAGGTGTGCCCTGAGCCAGCCTGCCTTGTGTTCCCTCCTGCCGCACCCTGGCAGGTCTCATTTCCCTCCCCTCTCCCCAGGAATCCAGGGCCTCGAAAAGGGCCTAAACCCTGGAACAACAAGAAGGCTTCAACTAGACAGGAGGGGTTTGGGTTAGCTATTGGAAGAACTTCTACAAGTGGGTGGAAGGAGCTTAAACCCTAAAATGGGTAGCCAAGAGAAGGCAAGAAATTATCTTCCCTAAAGGGCTTTCCAAACAGGGTTTTGAATGGCTTAGGTGCAGTCCTGTGTAGAGGCAGAGGGACCAACCTTCGGCCGTTCTTGAGTTACATTCTGAGCTGCCCTGACCCTGACTCTGAACAGACAGAGAGGTGGAGGGATGGGGGGACAGATGGATGGAGTGGTTTACCTTGAGTGTGCCTGAACCTGGCCTTCTCCTCAGGGCTGGACAAGAGCCTGGGGGCCAGCTGCAAGGACTCCATTGGCTGGATGTTCTCCAAGCTGGACACCAGTGCTGACCTCTTCCTGGACCAGACCGAGCTGGCTGCCATCAACCTGGACAAGTATGAGGTCTGCATCCGCCCTTTCTTCAATTCCTGCGACACCTACAAGGACGGCCGTGTCTCCACTGCTGAGTGGTGCTTCTGCTTCTGGAGGGAGAGTGAGTGTGGCCCCTGGCTGGCCCCTGGTCCCACCGCAGACCACCGGCCCCGCCCCCACTTTGCCCACCCCCACCCCCGCCCCCAGGTCACCTGCTTCCTGCCCTCTCCAGTGCTTCATCTGTTGGAGCCTAGGAAAACCAGCACTTTAACTCCATTCCTTGGCAAGCTCCTCAGTGATCCAGATTTTGTGGGTCCTGAAGCATATGCACGTTGGGAAAGTTAAAACTATAAATGTGACATTTCTAGGGTCCCTTGGGGCCTTGGAGAGGGCTGCTGGGTCCTACAGCTCTGAAGCTCTCTTGGCTTCTCAAGGATTCCACTTCTGGGCACATCTCACATGATTTACCCCAAATCTGTGATCATCAGCCTTAGAGATAGGACATCATTTGCTAGCTTTCTATATCCTGAACCAGAGCTGGGTACGTGCTCGGAGACCATCCGGGCCGGGCGGCAACCATCGTCAGTGGGGAAACTGAGGTTCCCGGGGGTCAGCTGGCCAGCCGGCCTGGAGGTAGGGGAGGCCCTGGTGCTCTGCCTCAGGGGTCCTGCCTGGTTCCTGCCGCCGCCGTGTGGTGGAGGCGGCACAGCCTCCGCGGCCTGAGGCCCAGCCTTCCACAAGGCCTCCACCAGAGGCTGGTTCGGGACGTGGGGCAAGGCGCTGAATCTTTCCAAGTTTGGTTTCTTCATCCCATTTGGGAGATACCACCTGTGTGGGAGACTGTTGTAAGGGTGAACGGAGAAAATCTGGGTGCAGAGCACCATGTCAACCACAAATCCATCTGCCGGCATGTGGTGTCTAGGTCACTTTTAGGGACCCCGCCTGCCCCGCCTTCTGGCACTTTCACCTTCCAGGTCTTTGGAGCTCATTCTGTCCCTTCTGTACAGCAGCCAACTTGGGCAGGAGGCTGGGGACTGATCTCATTTTACCGTCAGCCAGGCCTCTCGCTGGGAAGGGCTAGGGACTTCTCACGGCGACAGGCTAGTTAGATTTGACTGTAATTACATCTGGGCGGCTGCTGCTTTTTTTTTTTCTTTTTTTTAAGTAGGCTCCATGCCCAGCGTGGAGCCCAACACAGGGCGCGAACTCATGACCCTGAGATCAAGACCTGAGCTGAGACCAAGAGTTGGATGTTTAACCGACGGAGCCACCCAGGCGCCCCTCTTTTTGAGCTTCTGTCTATCCTTCCCTCTGGTCTTATGTTTCCCCTTGGGTCTCTCCGCTGGGGAATCTGTGCACTCCACCTCCTCTTCTGGATCCTGGGCCCTCATCCCATGAATCCCCAACATCTCAGGGAGCCCTGGGCTTCTTGGGGCACCCCAGCCCATGCCACAGCCATGGAAAGGCCTCCCCCAGTTGGAGCTTTTTTTTTTTTTTTATCTTGCAGAGCCCCTGTGTCAATTTTTGGGAACTCGGAGGGATCCGTGCATCCCACTACCACTGTGGGGCTTCCCCAAATCAAAGCCTGGGTGTTTTCATCGTGCAGAGCCTCCTGCCTGGGCTTCCAAGCCTTGGGGGCCACTCTGTGAGTCTGACCAGCACTGTGGGATGGCCCCCATCAGAGGCTGCTTCTCTCCCCGCAGAGCCTCCCTGCCTGGTGGAGTTGGAGCGCATCCAGATCCAGGAGGCTTCCAAGAAGAAGCCAGGTGAGGGGGCTGGCTGGGCTGGGCTTGGAGGAGGCAGGGGCGGGGTGCCACAGGGTCCCCCTGAGGCCTGGAGACTCCAACCCCGGGGCATTATGGAAGACGCTGAACCCAGAGGGGGCTGTGGCCTAGGAAGACGGGAAAGGGAACTCCCTTCCTGCTCTTATCCTCATGGTAAGACAAGATCTCCCAAGCAGCCGCTTAATAAGTGTGTTTCAAGTGCTCATCCACTCTGCGGCTGGAGGAGGGGATAACGGAAGGTTCCTAGAACCGTCCATTCAGTTCACTTCAGTAGGGAGGTACGTGCAAAAATCAGGTGAGTGCCCTCCGTAGCAGATGTTCATGTCTGCAGTAAATACTTGAGCGTCAGCCCCAGAGGGAACTGTAGACCCGGCCCAGGTCGGAACTGATGGGCAAGACAGACTGGTCCCTGGTCTCAGAAAGCACACAGGCTACTTGGGAAAACACAACACAGAGGTTGACACACCAAAAAGACAGAACCACCCACGGTGGCTTGTGTCCGTATAGTGCTGAGGGAGAACACCGTGGGTAGAAGTTAGCCTGCACGTGTGCGAAGGCCTCTTGGGGGACCTGGTGTTCAAAGGAAGACCTGAGAGATGAGAAGGAGCCCGCCAAGGGCGGGAGGAAGCTCGAGGTTCTTGGGAAACAGAAAGGAAGGGCCCACATGGCTGGGTCATGGTGGCTGAGGGGGCAGAGGGCCACAAGGCAGATCCCATGGGGCCTCGTGGTGACTTGAGAACAGCTTGGTATTTAACTGGGCCCACACAATGCCGGAACCGCCCCACAGAGCCTTGTTGACTGAGAGCCCGGTGGCCTTCGGGGATGGGTGTTAGTGCTCCTTCCACCAGGAAGCCACGCTCGTCCCTCCTGGAGGCAGTCCTCTCAGGTCTGTGTTCCCTGAGCGTGCTCACTGGGCCTCAGGGTGCCCATCCTGTAGTGCCCGGACTGTCATTTCGACGTGTGTCTCACCCGCCTCCCTGCAGGGGCGGAGTCTCTGTCTGCTCTCCGAAGAAGTCTGTCGGGTGGGCGGAGGGGCCGCAGTTCCAGGGCCTGAGGGAGAGCGGGTGGGCCCTGAGGCTGAGAGGAGAGGCCCGGGCATTGCTGAGAGCCAACAGCCCGGCCACAGGATCAGCTGCAGGAGCGAGGGTGTTGAGCACTGTGACATCAGGGAGGCAGCTTTTCCCGGCTCCAGTCGGTCGAGCCAGAGGAGATGCTCATGCCCAGCCCTGGACATCTGGGCTTGTCGGGTGACTGGTACCTGGGCTGGCTGCGCTCTGGTGGGGTCTGGACCCTTGCTTGTGCCCCAGGCTCCAGGGCCACCTCTCCGAAGAGCTCACGCCCCAAGGCGCCTGCTTTGACCCTGCTGGTTCCTGTCGCATTCAGGAAGCTTCATCCCGAGCTGTGATGAGGACGGCTACTACCGGAAGATGCAGTGTGACCAGAGCAGGGGTGACTGCTGGTGCGTGGACCAGCTGGGCCTGGAGCTGACAGGCACCCGCACGCACGGCAGCCCCGACTGCGGTAAGGGCCCGGCGGCAGCATGGGCGCCCCCCCCCCCCGCAACCCCGTGACCTGCCCTGGGAGGGCTCGTGGGGGGGCCTGGCTGGGTGCTCCCTGCTGGCAGGGGGGAGAGGCAGCCCCCGGGGTCCTAACCTGCCCCTCGGCTTGTTCCCCTCACAGACGACCTCGTGGGCTTCTCAGGGGACTTTGGGAGTGGTGTCGGCTGGGAGGATGAGGAGGAGAAGGAGACAGAGGAAGCAGGCGAGGAGGCTGAGGAGGAGGAGGGCGAGGCAGGCGAGGCGGACGACGGAGGCTATATCTGGTAGATGGCCCTCGGGGAGGCGTGGCAGGCCAGGGTGCCGGTGGCCGGGGGGGACGGGCCGGCAGAGACCGGGACAGAAGCAGCCAACTTACGCATGGGTCCGGAACATACAGCTGGAAGGACCCTGGCTCCAGCGGGGAGGACTGGGTGTGTGAGTGTGCGGGGCACGCGTGCGGCCTCCATGGCCAGGACGTGTGAACGTGTGTGCGTGTGGCATGCGCTGACAAATGTGTCCTTGGTCCACGCTGCTCCAAAGACCTCCTTGTTGTTTGCTTTCCATTTATTGTTGGTTTTAAAGTGCACACATCCACACACATACGCCCACCACAAGGTCAAAACTGACGAAATGAGATGCCCCCTGCCATGTCCCCAAGCCCCTTCCAAGCCTGTCCCGACACCCTTGGGTTGCCCTGACTGGGGTTTCTTGTCTTGATTGCTCCTCCTTGCTTCCAGCCCTGCTTCCTACTGCCTTTGTCTGCCCTCTCCCACCCCCCTTTTTAGGTGTCCCCATTGCAGAGAGGAGGGAAGGCAGGGAGCTGCCTGCTGGCTGGGGTCCTCCTGGAGCCGGGCCAGTGTGGCTGGGACACCTTCACCAGCCTCTGATGACATGGGCTGGGACACCCACTGCAGTGAGCCCTTACCCTGTGCTGGACTCCCCAGCACCAGAGAAACTCTGCTTTCCTAACCCAAGCCCGCGTGAGCAAGGGTGGCAGAAGCTGAGAGGCTGGGGGAGGGGAAGGCCTGGCCGCCAAGCTGCTGGGGTGGAGCAGAGGGAGGAGGAAGAAGAGTGCAGATCTGGCAGGAGCTCTTGGGAGTGGAGGCTGCGTAGCCCTAGAGTGCCAGACCCTTGAACAGCCTGTCCCCTTCCTGTGGGCCTCAGGTGGGGGCCTGGTCTGAGCTGGTCCCTTGGAGGCAGTGGGCGGTGGTTATGCAGGTGGGTTCTGCCTGGCCTTGTGGGGCTCCTGCACTGCGCTTGTCCCCCTGGCCCTCCTGGGAGCCTGAGGATGAGGCAGCAGGTGAAGACACTGGGTCTTAGCCAGGTGTGTGGATGGGTGGGGGTGGGGGGGGGGGGGGGGTGGGCATCCACCTCCTCTCCCATCCGGACCAATGGGAAGCTTGTCCCTGAGATGTGGGGAGGGAGAAGCAGTGAAAAACTCCACCTCCCGTGATCTTTCTCCATCTCTCTTCCAGAGGGCGACACCAGGCCCATTTCCATCCCCCTCCCCTGCCAGCGCCAGGACCTTCCCTCTGACCCCTCCGAGGGTCCCCTGAGGCTGCTCTAGTGGAGGGGCTTCTCCAGGCTCGAAGTGTTCAGGAGTTGTGAAGTCAGAGGAGACAGGACTGGGGCCACACCTCCCTGTTCCCCCAAATCTCCTTACCAGCTGGGAGCCAGGATGGATGAGACCGGGCCACATGTTTTGGGTTTCTTTTTGTTTTCTTTCCTAATCTGTCCCCTTCTCCCTGTTGAAGCAAATTCCTTAACACTTTGGGTGAAGAATTTCTAACCTGGACCTGGGCCTCTGCTGCCCTTCTGTGTGTGGTGAGTGCAGTGTGTGTGTGTGTGTGTGTGTGTGTGTGTGTGTGTGTGTGTGCGCGCGGCAGTATGTGTGTGAATGTGTGTGAGAGCCTGGGGGCCACCCCCCCCGCCCCGGGGGCCTGGGGTGTGAGGAGTGTGGCTGTGTGGGGGCCCCCGGGGCGAGGCTCCCTGGACAAGGCTCCAGCCTGTCCCTCCCCGGCTTCTGCAGCATCCGCTAAGTCTGTTGGACCTTATGGAAGAACCTCACCCTGTCTGCCCCTTTGACTGCACCCCGGAGTCAACATCTTCCCAGTCCTGTCCTGGGGAAAACAGCGAAACCGCAGCTAGCCCCATGAGCCACTTCTCATCCCGCAGCACAGGTTAGGGTGTCGCTTTTCATCCCGCAGCACAGGTTAGGGTGTCACGCTGTCCCAGACCCCCCACTCATGTCTCTCCCCCCCCCCGCCCACGGCCCTCCCTGCCCTCCCACCTCCTCCCTCTGGCCCTGGCTCAGTTCAGGGAACCGCCCTCTGCTCCCTGAACAGCCGCCCCTCTGAGCTACTTGAAGCTTCCCGCTCTCGCTAGGATTGGAGTCTGTCTGTCTCTTCCCTCTGCCCCAGCTGAGGCTTCTAGAACTGTCACTGGGAGCGGCTGTTGAGGAGGCTGGGGCGTTCCGGGGTGGGGAGGGGGCAGGGAGGAAGGGGCACCCCTCTCTCACTGTTGCCCTCCCCTCCTGGGGGCACAAGCTCTCTCTGTGTCTCTGGGTCTTCTGGTTGTGCACGTTTCTTATGACCTTGTAAATATGTTGTAGAAAGAAAGCAAAAGGCGTTGAATTAGACCCTGGTGGGACTCAGGGGTCCAGCCTTGCCCTGTCTCTGAAGCCCCCACCCTGCTTTTCACCCCACTCTCTGAGACTGAGCCCCCCCGCCCCCAGAGCTAGGACAAAGCATCTTGTTCCCAGGGGGCTGACAGCCTCTAAGTGACTTCTTGTCAGACAAGCTGCAGGCTTTCTCGTGAGCAGGGTTGCAGGCTGGGCCTTCCTTGGCTCATCGGATTCATGCCCTTGACCAAGCTGCCTGCCACCCAGCTCCTGCCATGTCCCTCTACATGGATATCCTCTCTCCCCTGGTTTAGGCAGGCAGTGGAATTAGGGCTCCGTTGAAAAGAGCTCAACCAAATTTGAAGAGCAGTTTCTTGCCTGGCTCCGGAGCTGCCCATGGCCGCCCCAGGCCTCCTCACCCACGGGTGCTGGGAGAGATGGGTATGTCTAAGATGGCGGAGTTGGAGTTGGAGAGAACAAATGTGCCTTGAGAGACCACTCAGAGGGTTCAGGGTGATGGGGAAGGAGGCACGGCATTCGAGCTCAGGAAGGAGGAAGAGGAAGGTGAAGTTGATGAGGGCATCAGGGGGCATCATGACGGCCCCCTCTTGTCCAACTGGTGCTGTGACTGCAGGTGGTCAGTGGTCACACTTCCTTCCCCACACCGGCCCACCTGGGGTTAGTGGCCACCTGTGCGCCTTTCATGAGCTCTGTCTGCTTCCAACTTCACCTCTGAGTGGGTGGGACCCACATGGGAACCCTCCATTTCACCAAAGCCTCACCGCAGCCCTTGGGGAGGACAAATGGCTATTCTGCTGACACCTGGCGCCATCATTGTGAGGCTGTGGGCTGGCGGGGGTCAAAGGGAAGAGACACTGGGGGTACAAAAGGAGACTCGAGACATCCCGAGGAAGTCCCAAGCAGAGCAAACTGCTTTATAGCCTGAAGCCTACTTAAATTGTGTGATGTGCAATAACTGAGCTTAGAGTTAAGAATTGTGTTCAAGTGCTTGGATTTCCGTCTGTATATTTCAGTGCTGAAATCGTATCTTTCAGTAATTTTAGATGTCTTAAAAAAATCGAAAAACAAAGTGTTAGACCGTGTATGTGCATTGATGGGCACTCAAGCGTCCCGTGAGTCACCCCACCCTCTCCCTTTCCCTTGTGCCCCCAGCCCCTCAGCCCTAGCCCCCCCTCCACTTGGGGACCCTGCCTCGTGTTGTCTTTATCTGCCTATTACTCAGCCTAAGGAAACAAGTACACTCCACACATGCATAAAGGAAGTCAAATGTTATTTTTAAGAAAACAGAAAATAAAAACTTTATAAACACCAGCCCCTGGCGATGTTCTGAATACTCTTTCCCTTGGTGTCATCTTTTACAAAAATGACATCCTCAGATGTGCTCCCAGCTACAGACACATGGTCAGCATTCTCCCCCTATGCACCTTCCTATGTGAGAGCCCCGGGGGGGGGGGTTGGGGGGGCTGATCTGAGGGGAGAACCAAGAGCAACTTAGAAGGATTTTTGGTATTATTACCAATCTACGTGCAGTCTGTATTTGTATATACGCCAGTGAACACACCTATACTGCGGAGCGGAGATCAGTTTATGTCCTGCTTTTCCCATTTAACTTACTATGAACCTTTCCCCACGTTATTAAAATCATTGGAAGACATGACTTTAATAGGTGCATAGTATTCCATGATGTGGATGTACTTAGTGAATTTAATAATTTTCCTATTTTTGGACATTTATATTGCTCCCAATTTCTTAGCACTCTCAACTTTAGCCCTAGGACTTTGCGCATCATGACCTTCGGCAAATCATCTGGCAGAGGGAGAGAAGAACTCACCTCACAAGGATTACTTTTTATAACCTGTGGAAGTGCTTTCTAGACAGTGAAAGCCCTGTGTGATGTCAAGTTCGCCCCCTCCGCCCTTGCCAGATCATAGCCAGTGCCGGCTCTGCCCGTCTGGCTAGAACATATCCTAAGGAAAGGGATCCCTACCTTCTGGGGTGGCTTTCTGCCCCTCCTTGTTTCCCACAGCCACCTGCAAGGGCAGACTTGGAGGCTCAGGAGTCCCCTTGGAAGGATGAATGAGGAAAGATGTGTCTCGCCAAGGGCTGCTCCCAGCATGCAGGATGGAGAACGTGGGTGGAGACAGGGACAGAGGTCTCTGGGAACTGGGTCACTTGCTGGGCTTGTGGGAACCTGTAGTTTTAGAAATAGAGGACTCATGGGCTGGGGGAGGGCTAGAGGATGGACTCAATCAGTGGGAGTGTCTTATATCAGCCTGTGACGTAGATACTGTTGTTAATGCCCATTTTGTAGACGGGGAAGCTAAGTCTCAGAGGTTTGGTAGCAACAAAGTTATGTACAGCTAGTGAGGGGCAAAGCTGGGATTCCTCTTGCCATCTACCATCTGACACAAAGCAGGCTGCCACCAGGGCCTGGTGACTGCTCCTCACGTGGCTCAAAGGTGCTCAAAGAAGGAGAGTCACCTGCACAGGGTAAGTTTAGGAAGACTTCCTGCAAGAATGGGACTTCAGCTTGGCCCCCTACCTGGGTAGCGATGGTCTAGTGGCTTACTCCTGGCTGCACTTCAGAATCATTTGGAGAAGTCTAGGCTCCCAGATCCCACCTGCAAAGATTCTGGTGTCGTTGTTCTGTGTTGGGGTGTGGGTGTCAGTATATTTGAGAAGGGTCCCAGGTGATGCTGATGTGTAACCAGATGGCTAAGCAGACAGAAGCAAGTCCCTTGGGTGAAGACAGGATGTGCAGGCAGCCAGGGCAGAAAAAAGCCTGCGAGGAGCCAGGACGCGGGCGCCCCCATCTCTGCGTAGGGGCAGCGTGAGGCCTATGGGCCGGTCAAGGGCAGAAGAGCTTGTGTTTTATTGTTTTTCTTTGACATCTTGTGAATCCCCAAGCCACGCCTTGGTACCAGCTCAGTGCATCCATCCCGTGGGAACCCTCCAAGTGAGCCTCCTCAGCCTGCAGGGAAATATTGGTGTTTGCGCTCACTGATCACATTTGTTCAGGCAATGGGGCAAGAGAGGCCAGGCCCCGCCCTAGCTTCTGACATCCATCGTAACCATGTCCCCGCAGCCTGGATTCCCAGGGTAGGCGGCCCAGACAGTACTGCCAGGGACAGGCCCCAGTGCGGATGGCCACTCGGGAAGCGCCCACTGACCCCTACTCCTCCTGGATGGGGTCCGTCCTCGGCACTGGCCCTCCCACCCTCTCCCTGAACTGTGGGCACTGCCTCGTTCTGGCACCTTGTTTTTCTTCGTATTTAGCCTCCTGGTGACAGGGACTGTATATTTACTGCTCTCTGGTGAATAACCCGGGTGAATAACCGGGGCCTGAGAACAAATCTAAAAGAGGAAAGACAAACCGCACACAAACCTCCCCAATCTGCCTCCCCGGTCCCATGCCAGTGGCCGGTCTCACACCATTGTGGGGGCTCGGAGACCAAGAACAAATGAGCAAACAAACACAATTAAAAAAAAAAAAACAACTAACCTTGAAAAAACAGTTTTTGGGGGGTGCCTGGGTGGCTCAGTCGGTGAAGCGTCTGCCTTTGGCTCAGGTCATGATCCCAGGGTGCTGGGATCGAGCCCCGCATCAGGCTCCTTGCTCAGCGGGAAGTCTGCTTCTCCCTCTCCCGCTCCCCCTGCTTGTGCTCTCTTTCTCTCTCTCTGTCAAATAAATAAAATCTTTAAAAAAAATAACCCCCCAAAACCTTAAAAAAAACCAATTTTTAAAAATTTCTTTTTGAGGGCGCCTGGGTGGCTCAGTTGGTTAAGTGACTGCCTTCAGCTCAGGTCATGGTCCCGGAGTCCTGGGATCGAGTCCCACATCGGGCTCCCGGCTCGGCGGGGAGCCTGCCTCTCCCTCTGACCCTCTCCCCTCTCATGCTGTTTCTCTCTCTCTCAAATAAATAAATAAATAAATAAAATCTTTAAAAAAAATTTCTTTTAGAGCCAAACAGGTGAAGGAGAGGAGGCAAGCACGAATGTTTCTATGTTCCCATCAACGTGCTTTTTCTGTCATGTCTAATCCTGCCCACAACTCCCGAGAGGCAGATATTACGCACCCAGCCCCGTTTCATGCAGGAGACAGCTGTGCCTCTGGGGGCCGACCTTGGTGTATGTAGTCATACACATGGGGCCACGATGTCACCCCAGGCCTGGCTGAACTCCAAGGTCAAGCCCCTACATTCCTGCATCGCCACCCCTGGCGATACCTCACAGGGAGGTAACGAGTTTTGCAGGGAGCCCTGCGTTTTCCTAGACAAGTCCTGGGTGAATATGGGTGTCAGCATGAGTGTCGGGGAAGAAGTCCCGAAGAAGTGAGGATGCTTGGATGTTGCCTGGCTCTGCCTCCCAGCACCTTCCCTTGAGCCTCAGCTTCCCCATCTGTAAGATGACTCCATCGCCCAGTTTTGTGATTCTGTGGAAGAATGCAAAGGAATGAATACAGAAATCAGTATCTTGTAAGGTTCAGGATTATCTTTCTCTCTCTCTGGAACATTCCACAGTTGATCTAATTAATCCCAAGGGCTCACACGTTTGCAAAGCAGAATTAACTGTGCTTTAAAAAGAAAGCTACAGACGGAATATAAGTCATAGCAGCCATCTTTTTGGGGGGCGCAAATGACTTAGTGTTTCTCTTGGTGATATTTGGAGGTGCTTGATGTTCAGGCAGGGGGATGCTGCTTGGAATTTTTGGAGGCCGTGGCCAGACTCTGGGCCATGGCATTTACTCTAGTTGGGGAAACAAGCTGGAAAAGGCAAGCACCGTCCCCTTTAGCCTGAGCACACTGCCCTGAGACAGCCCAGGAGGCTGAGGCCAGGGTTCCGTGGCTGACACTGCCCCAGCAGGTGGCCGGTGCAGACCTTGACCTCAGGCCTGCCTGGGCCAGAGTCTCCACACACGTGATTTCATCTGAGCCTACAACATCCCTCATCATCTTATAGGTGAGGAAACCAGTCACACAACCATCTGTGACAAGTCCTCTCACTGCTCCCTCCCCTTACGAATGGTACGGCTGAGGCAAAGGCAGCAAAGGACACGTGGCCGAGTGAGTGACCAAGTTGGGGCCACCTGGCACCACCGGCCATGCTCCAGGCCGCCACCTGGTGTGACTCTTTGTGCAGCTTCTCTAGAAGGCTGGGCAGCCCCAATGCCTCTCCCTCTGAGAGGGTTGGCCTCTAGAGAAGACGGGACTGACCCAAGGAGTCAGGCTTCTGCTCCCTCCTCCCATCCCTTCCTGATTCCTGCCTTGCAACGAGAGGGTGGGCGGCTTCCTTCCAGACTTCCCTCAACATTTGCTTCCCTGGCCCTGTGGGGGAAGAGACCACTGACTCCTCTCAAACACATTTATAGTCAATGAGAGACGCCAGCGGAAACTCTGCCCCAAGCAGGGCAGCCTTCCCTCACTCCCGGCTCCCCACTAATCCTAACCTTTGCCAGGCAGCCAGCCCCAGCCGGGCCCTCCAGCATTTACCTTGCCCTGGGTAAGGGGAGGGGGGAGCCCAGGGCCTGACAGCGTCTACATGAGCATCTGCTCAATGAAGTATGTCTCCCCAAGAACTCCCGGAACCATCCAGGAGGGGCCCCGCATCAGCCGAGGCAAGACTGCTGGGCCAGGGCTCCTCCTGTTCACGGGCAGACCAGCTGAGGTCCTGCCCCTCAGCAGTGAGCAGACACCCAGGAAGGTGCTGGGCTCCTTCCTCGCCGTCTCCTGGCGCCTGACGCCCTGCAGGGTCGAGACTCCGCCTGACTGGGTCTCTTTGGTTTTGCTCCTTTTCTGTTCTCTCTGCCCACACGCCAGGCTCCAGAGCCTGCCTTGCTCAGGATTCAGGCAGTCATGTTGAATTTGAGTTTCTCCAACTCTGAAAATCCTGGAATCATCAATCCCAGGGACGTGGGAGCTCATCTGGTCTACTCCTTCCCCAGAGCCACACCATCCTTGACCCATGGAGATAGGAAGTTCCACACAGCTGAGTTTATGGTGTCTCTGTTGTATGCAAGGCTCTGTTTATCAGAGCATGGAGGGCGTGGTGGCGGAAGGAAGAAACGGAGAGAAATAAGATCCAGCCTGCCTTGGGGACCCCCAAAGACCAACCGAGAAGACAGTCTTGTGCACAAGAACACAGTCCAGATGCGATTCTTGCGGTGCAGGAAGATGCCCTCCCAGGGTTGCAAACTCAGTGTGAGAGGGTGACAGGGCCCGAGGACTGGGTTCTGCGACACTGTGGCAGGGGTGTGCCCTGTGCAATTGGGGTCGCCACTGCCCGGATCTGGGTGTATAATGATTGGGACTCAG